GGAGAAATGAGCTGGCAGAAACCTTATGAAGCAAGGGCAAGCATGAGTCCTGCATCTGGAGCAGCATAGCCCTGTGTGACACTGTGAGCTAGAGAGCAGCTGTGCAGGGAACACCCTGGGAAGAGGTGGAAAGGCCATCTTCAGTTCGAAGAAGAGAATGGAATGGCAGGCATCTTGCTGCTGTCTCAGCTGCCTTCCAGGATGTAGAAGGGGTGAATCCAGATTCTTTGTTCTCTCTGTACAGAGACAAGATAACAAGCAATGAACAGAAGTTGCAGCAAGGGAAATTCTGACTAGATATTTTCACCAAAAAAACCCATAGTATGAGGTTTCTCAAACATTGGAACAGGTTGCATCCCACCATTAGAGAGATTCAGAACTGATCAAGACCATTACAAAGCTGGCCCTGCTTTGAAGTGTGGGTGGGGTCGGAGTGGACCAGAGCTCCCTTCCAACCTGAATTATTCAGTGTTTCAAAGGGTCTTTATGACTCTTAAGTTTCAGATGATTTTATCTGAAAACGTGTAATGGAAGCTTGTAGGTTGTGAATTCCTTATGTCCAGGCAGCGACCTGTGCCTTTGAGTCTGCCATCTTCTAGGAGAGCTTGATCCTGTTCGTGAAAACCTGACAAATTCCAGCTTGTGCTGCTGTAACTAAAACTGCCTTCTTAGAGGGTTCACACCACTTTTAGCACTTTGAATTAATTATATTGCTATTATCCTAATGGAAGCAGCCAGAGTAGGTAATTGAAGACATCTTGAAATAAATTAGATGAATGGTAGCAGAAGCAGCTTTGTGCTTGAAAACTCAGAGGAAAACCATTTTTAAACTCCAACTTAGAACTCCCCCAAATGCAATGGACTTTACTGTACATTTTTATTGACCAAGCTGTATTTTAGGAAAGGTTTGAAGAAAAATTTGTTAATCCTGCTGCAGCAAAAAACCCATTCTTTGTATCTTGGAGTGAGTCTACTGTATTCTTACTTGTTTTTTGTTGAATTTAAGGAATCCATGCTAAATTATTTTTAACTGAGCACTTAATGCCTGAAGTGTTTGTAGGAGAAATAATCAACTCGTGTCACTAAAAATCCATGCTCCGGAACTTCAGTTTTGTGTCACAGACTTGGTGCCTTTGCACATTTTTCTAGTACCAAAGTTCCTTTCAAAATAGAAATATTTTTTTAATTTAATAAATTCTTATGGGTTTGGTTCCCATGGTTGGCTAAAGAAATCAATAAAAATAATATTTTTTATTACTTCAAGAAGCACAGGTCTGCAGATCCTCATTTAATAAAAGCTGGAAATATGCAGAAAGCCATATATCAGGTGTGCTTTAAAATTATTAAATCATGACTGGATTGCAGGACATGTATGAGTTGCTTCCAATTTCAGTAGAATGCATTTCTTAACTATCATTACTGTAGTTTAATTTTCAGTTTCTCCAGATATTGTGTTCTTTTACATCCTCTTAAATCCAAGATAGAGTCAAATATTAATTATATTCCTAGCTCTGTCCCTGTTTATTTTAACTGCAACCAAAGACAATATTTCACAGCTGGTAATTCAGCTAGATTGTGTGTAACTGAATATCAAGGTCAGTTCATGCCCTGCTTCTCTGTGATGTTCTCTCCTCTCTCTCTCTTTTTTGTAGGCAGCAGAAATGATCAGTAATGGCCTGAGATTTAATGTACAATGATGGCTTGTAGTACAGTGCCACAAATTTGCTGGGTTTTATTTTGCAGTTGCTGGCTTTAATAATTAAGGGGAATATTATTAAGAGGTTTAAAGGCTTGTAAAACCCTCATTTGTCTCATATCCAGAAACATAACCAGCTTCTTAAATGTCTTATTGCTTATAGAATTTATAGCTCTTTGTTATAATACTTTTGGCCCTTGAGACTAATTAATCAAATCTGAAATGCACGTGCTTAATTTTGGTGAGCCAGAGTGATGCAAAATACATAATCAGCCACTTCGTTGAAGTGTGCATATTATGGTTCAGTGACTAATTTTCTGGTCAGTGAATCACAACCTTATGTCTCTTTTTTTGTATTTGAACACTTCAGATTATGATAGTTCTTCTATTTAAAGCCATTCTAGGCATAGAGATCTAATTCATGCTTAGCATTTTAATAACTGGCTCTGTTTTACAGTTTTTGCAGAGAAATATTTATTCATCTCTCTTTAGATTATGAATTTATAATTTATGGCTTATTTGAATTACAAGCTAAACATAATTATGTGCAGCGTGGTATTCTTAAGGTCATGGGACGTAACATGACAAAAGGTTTGGTTTAGATTGTAAAAACTGTAATTGTTGGCAACATAGTATTCCATTTTACAAATTTACAGTTCCCTATCTGGAACGGACATCAATCATAGATTGACTGCTTCTAGATACTTATTTTCAGACACTTTAGAAATGTCTCACTTTAAAGCAGTAAATCACAGGAAAATAAAACATTCCTTGCGTATTTCTGTTTTGGAAAACATTTGCTTTAAACTTTGTCATTGCTTTGAGGCTTCTATTCATGTATCATCTAACAGCTTCAGGTATCATTGAGGAACTTCATTTTGACATATGATTCAAGCCCTGAAAATCACATCACTATAAACTGTAAGTGGCGTTAGCATAAGAAGAAAAATTCGATTTATAAGCTTTTACATTTTTGCATCCTACCTAAACTTGTTTGTCTGTATCTAAATATTATTTGATTACAGTCTAATGTGTCAAAATCACTCCTAAATAATCAGGTGTTACCAGACTTCAGATGCATTACATACTGTGTGTTCTGGGTTTTCAGTGTAAAAAAATGATGTTATGAGGTATTTTGAATCTCTTATTTTCCAAGGGAGGTGGATTATCAGGCAGAGGTCAGGAAGGAATACGGTATTTGCATCACTTTGTGTGGTTGCATTATTTACCACATCAGTGATCTCCCTCATGTTTTTACAAACGTGATGCTCTTTCTATGGTGTATAAATAATACACTCATGCATAATGTTGCTTAAAGTGTTTGTTTGAAATAGAAGTTATTTTTTTCCATCTTTTCTTTTAATTTGTTTTTACATTAGAGAAGACAAATACGTAGCAAATGGTGGTTGAATCCTTTTTTACTTCATGTAGCAATATGAAAAGTTCATTGTCCCTCCCACTTGAGACTGAAAACATGGCTGGTTTAGCCTCTGTAATACTTGGCTCTAAAATTAAAATCCAGAGGAAACTGGATCCGACTATGAGTCAGTATGCAGAGCATATGAAGTATAGGGGCCATGAAGAAACATTCTTTTTCTTTCAGCCCAAGGTCTTTATCATTACTGAGAACCAATGTCATATTTTGTAATAGTAGGATATGAGTGCCAGACTGTGACCTGTTTTGATCAGGATTAAAATGCTGATGTTATTTCCTTGATTTTGTTCTGCTGTATATATACAATCATTTCTATAAATGATTTTAAACTAAGACACTTCCTTGCAAATTATTTTCAGAGCACTTTGTGTCATTATTTCAAATGGAATCACTCATTCTCACCTTTCTTATCATTTTGGAAGTAATTACTAACTTGGATATTTTGATGATGTTGAAATAATCTCCAAATCGTATTCCCTTCTGTAGTGCCTGACTTCACAGAGTCTGACAAATTGTTTGGCATGGAAAATGGAATCAGGGTCATCCACTCATGGGAAGCTGGCTTACGCATGGATGCCAAATCCCAAATGACTTTAACAGTGATAGGCAGTACTAATGAAAATTATTTTCTTACATGGGATATAATGCACATTTCTACCTCTCATTCCACTAATAAACAAAATTCATCATTTGAGCCAAGTGTTGTGGAAACAAGTAATTTACCATATGCAGTATCTCAGTGTCACCTGATCGTGCTTTTCAGCTCTGCATAATACTTTTTTCACCTGTAATTGCCTAATAGTCTTTCTAGCCTGCTAAGAAAATACTCCTTCAGCTTGACATCTTTAAATTGTTCTTTTGTTCAGTAGTTTACAGTGTGTTGGTACTGTATAATCATAGAATCATAGAATCATAAAGTGTGGAAAAGACCTCTAAGATCATCAGGTCCAACCGTCAGCACAACACCACCATGCCCACAAAACCATATCCTGAAGTACCACGTCTATACATTTTTTTAACACCTCCAGTGACAGTGATCCACCACTTCCCTGGGTGTTTATCATTAACGCTATAGATGGCAAAATACCTAATTACTGTTATGCCACTGTGCTGCAAAAAAAGTGTTACAGTCCAAGCCAATTCTGAATTTCGATTGCTGAAAGCAAGGTTGGAAGCAGCCTTGTAAATCTCAACCAAGAAAGCGGCACTTCCCTCATCTTTTGTTAAGCCAAAGAAGCGTGCTCCCAGTGTTCAGCGGTAGCTAATGGTGGAGAAGAACCGCCTTAGCAACAGAAGTTCATGAAATAAAAGACAGTTTTAAATGCAGCTTAAAATTAGGGAAATAGTGTCTTTCAGATTTTTAAATGTGGAAATAGATTCTCCATTATAGACAGGAGGCAGGCAAATGTAAAAGCTCAGAAATACCTTCTAAGTCAAGATGAAGAAAGAAGTTTGTCTGGTGCATGTTCTTTTCACTGCGAGCTGCCAGAAGTGAGTGTGTCTGTGCTGTTACTGTGCATCTGGTCTTCTGTAGGCTTCTCAGAAATACATTGCTCTAAAGGGAATGGAAGTGGTGATACATTTTTTTTAAAATTGCCCCGCTCTAGATCTGTGTCTGTAAAGTTCAAACTCAGAGAATCTTTTTTATTGAAATTTTTTCCCCCTCCTGTAAGTACTGTCATGGTCTGATTACTCCTAGTCTTGCACACAGTGCCCTTCTGGCAAATGTCATCCACAGAACACATTTAAAACAATCATAACAGCCATGTATCTTTGGAGAAAAAGGCTACACTCTATACAAGACAGCTAAAAATCTAGAACTTCGGTAAAACAAGAGGAGTAATACTTTTTCACTGATTTTTTGTATAGGTTTGTAATTGGACGAGAAAAACCGGGACAAGTGAGTGAGGTTGCGCAGCTGATTAGCCAAACTCTAGAACAAGAACGCCGCCAGAGAGAGCTGCTGGAGCAGCATTATGCACAGTATGATGCAGATGATGATGAGGTAACAGACTGTCTAGCATTTCACTATTTGGTGTTTTTTAATGTTCTGTTTTCTATTCCTAATTTCTTCTTTTAAATTGTCACTCAGCGGTCAGCTGCTGGCCCTCTCTATTACCTCTGCTGCCAATTTTTACAGATTTTGATGATGAATCTTACTTGAAGAACAAAGTTACTGAAAAGCTTTTCAGCATGGATTTAAAATATTGTTTTGTTCCAGAAAAGCAAATATCAGATTGGTTGATGCTTCTGTAATCATTGCTCATCCTGTGAAGGCATACGCTTTTCTAAATAAGGGAATAAAGTTGGTTTGCTTGTGCACCAGAACGTTAGTTTTTTGTGAAAACTGCTTAAAGTTCCCTTCTAACTTTTAGGGGGTTGAGAAAATTTTAGACCTTTTTTTTTTTTCCCCCCCTGGAAGAATTGGTGTTCTTCTTAATTGAGAACATTTTCTGAAAATTCCAAGTAAGGCTCCTCCTTTCACACACTGCTTTTTGTTTCTGTGTGAACAGATATTTCACGGGATAGAGAATTAATCTACCTTGTCTGAAGCCTGTATAGATGTTCGCAGTTAGTGCCTGATGTCCCAATACAAAGGTTTTGAAACTATCAACTTTGTACAGTAAATTTTCTGTAATTTCTTTCCATTCTCTTAAAATTCGTAATATGCCTAAATACCAAGATTCTTGGAAAGATCTTTTTCAGAGACTACTGTCTGTGTTACTCCCTAAATTAGCTGCTGGGTTAAGGTAAAAGGCATTTGTTGTAAAAAAACACTTCCACATAGCCCGAGCATACCACCTTCATTTCGCATTATCTTGAGTAACATTATTTGAAATGCCAGACTCCATGTGTTCATGTGTTGTCATCCTGGGTCAGATTTTTAGTTTTATTTGAGGAAGGAGGTGATAGAGAAGGGGAGATAGAGAATTAATGCTATGCATTTATTTCAGTTTAGTTTTCCTTTAGGTGCTGAGACAAGGCTTCTAAACAGTGAAACAGAGAAAAAAATACTCTTGAGATAAAATCAGGATACACTCAGATTTTGAAACACACAGTTAAACTTGCAATAGGTGAGAAAAATCAGAAGTATCCCAGAAGACTAAGAAAAAATCCTATCTAGCCCCAGTGATGCTTTCACTTACTTTAATTACCACTGATATTAAAAAATAAAAATATTTTAATATGTTTTAGAATTAATCCTCTTATAGATGCATATTTAGCTCATATAAATGAAAGTTGTACTCCTTTGTATTGAGGATGCATACGTATGTGTGCCTGTGCGAGACCATGAAGGCTAGAAAATCCATATCCTCTCTGTTCCCTCGTCAGACTATGGAAACATGCAAGTCTTCTAACTTCTGTTTGGTCTAGAATTAAAATTCAAGATCTTGACTAATTGCTTGAAGGAACTCTATCATGTCCTCAAAAACAAAAAGGAGACAACTCCCTCTAGGCTTTCGAACCAGAGACTTTTTGCAACTCACCACAGCGTGCTGTAGACATCAGGGTTTGAAGACCTGTGCTACCATTTTATGGTAAGCATAGTCTGATAGCTTTCATAGTGGCAGGAAAGGTGCGTCCTAAACACCTGATGTTCGGATCCTTCTCACTGTGTACTCGCACATAGAGGGATGTGTGGCTGAAGGCAGACCTATGTGAGTAATTGATCCATTACACCTTTTACCTAGAAGGTGCATCCACCTGCAAAAAATCTCAATGGTTTGTGTTGCTTACCTTCATGCACCACATAGATGTTGTAACTCAAGATCTGACAATAAAGAAAATGTTTCTAAAACTATATAGATCAATACTGATCCTGGTATTACCTCAGCGTTCAGCAG